TAAATAAACTAAGTACATAGTTATGATGAGCATGGCTGCCTCAGAAATTATGAATTTAATGGCCTCTGGGTAAGGGGTTCTGGTGTTAGGGCGGGGCTTTATTGATTAGATAGGGAATTGGCATGAATTCTTTCAAAATCTTGTGTGCGCCTGGGTATTTTTCAAACAAAGGAAGTGCATGGTTATGATAAGGAAGAATGCCTCATGGCCTTTGGGTCAGGGGTTCTGGTGAGGGGGAAAGAGCTCTATTGATTATATATAGTGAAAATGCATAATTTCTTTCAAAATATTTTTTCTACTACTGGTTATAAAGTAAAGAAACAAGTGTATAGTTATAATGAGAAAGGGTGCTTCTTCCAGAATTGTGAGTTCGTGGCCAATGGGTCAGATGTTCTGGGTAAGGATGGGGCTTTATTTATTTAATTTTATGGTGAAAATGCATTTCTTTGAAAATCTTCTATGCTTCTGGGGATGTTCAAGGCAAACAGAGTAAAAGTTTTAATATGCAAGGGTATTTTTACCAGATTTTTGAACACCTGGACCATTTAGTCAAGTGTTCTAGTCCTGGCCAGGGCTCTATTAACTTGTATTCTGCTGAGCAAAGTTATTCCCCTTTGCCATTCACCTTTGATAATTAATCAATGTAAATAATGTATTTGAAAGCTTAATAGAATAAGAGAATTATGCAAGATAATTTATTGTATAATGAAAATGTACTTTCATAGATTTAATGACTTGGAAAGTCAGATAGGCAGATAGATACTAGACCAATTATTTTGTTGATGCTAATCATACTATTTTTCTTGCTTTTGGGCAACAAAGCTTCATTTTTCAGTTTATGGATCCTCTAAATTGTTGTATTGTACTCAGGTGACCGTTAAGGCCCTTGGGCCTCTTGTTTTTTTTGTTTTCTTGTTTTTTTTTTTTTTGTTCAGTTGGATTTTTAGCATGCACAGTTATTACGTATAATGCAGGTTGTCGGCGGACTTGATATTCTAATTACATCTATTAGTTTTGTTTAGTAAAGGCTAAATTAGACACCATATGTTCTGCAAAATTTTGATAATATCGAAGGTGAATGTGTGATCTGCTGATTGCATTTAATTTGCTTCAATGCAAGCGCCTCGTTGCTCTAGGAGGTATGATTCTCGCTTAGCATTTGAAAGGTCCCGGGTTCAAATTACGGACGATCCTGTATTCTCATGTCCCCGTATCAAAGATTCAGGATATATAGTTTTACCCTGTCCGTCCATCTGTCTGTTTGTCCGCATAAACTTTAACATTGCTAATAACTTTTGATTGGTTGGAACTATGGGTTTCATATTTCACATGTGTATTACTTGTGACAAGACCTTTCTTTGGGTACCATCATATTTGACCTTGATTTTGGAATTTGACCCAGTTTTGCAAAATTTTACTGGAATTTAACCTTGGCCATAACTGTTGAATGGTTGGTGCTAGGGCTTTCATACTATAGATGTGTAATCCTTGTGACAAGACCTTCTTTAGGATACAAACATTCGTAGACCATTGACCTTGGAGTTTGACCTACTTTTGGAAAATTTTAACCTTTTCAATATCTATTCAATGGTTGCTTCTTGGGCTTTCATGTTTCACAGGTATATTCCTCGAGACAAGACCTTATTTTGGGTACAAACATATTTGAATTGCATTTTGGAAAATTTAACCTTTGCTATAAAATGACATACGGGGGCATCAGTGTTTCACAAACACATCCTGTTTTTTTTTGTGTTTTTTAAAAAATGTTTTTTGGGTTTTTTTTCCGATTTACTATTATATATACATGTATAAATGATAGTATTCAACATATGAAATGAAGAAGTTATGACGTCTGGCGTGTACAAACTTTCTCATAAAATCATTATTACATACATGATAAATATTTTATATCAAAAGAATCTTCTCTATACATTTTAGAGAATAAGCAATAAGATCAATATATCCATATTAGCATTTTTATTTGCTTCAGTATATATATTTAATAATTCTGCAAATCCAGGGGGTCCAACCCCCCAACCCCTCTTCCTTCCCGCGGATGCTCTTTTTTTCTTAACGCAAAGGACACAAATTCTCTGAATTAGCTTTTTTTGAACTGCCAGAAAGGGATTCTACCCCTATACCGTTTTTGAACTGCCAGCAAGGGATTTTACCCCCACTGACCACTAGGTCTCGATGTGCACTGCAAAGAAGATTCATGATATTGGAGATTGGTCTTTGACTTCATTTTTTTTGCTACTTTATTGTTTTTATGACATTCTGTCTTCTATTAGGATGCCCAAGAAATCACTACGGTAGCCCATGCAGACCATGCTCCTCGACCTGTGACGAATGTAATGCTGTTGACGGATCTTGTCTATGCCAAGCTGGGTATACCGGTGAAAACTGCACAGATGGTAAAAATTCATGCATTCTTTAACTTATATCTGTCTATGATTTTAAAGAAATGTAATGAATAGTATTATAGACAGTACAAGTGTTGTCATCTTTGCTTGCATTTAAAATTTTGACATAAACTATTGTAGAATGTTCAAATAGCACATACGGTGTTAATTGTATTTACAACTGTGGACATTGTTTAAATAATACTTGTCATCACGTCACCGGGAATTGTTTACTCGGTTGTACTAATGGATGGAAATCTAGCAGGTGTAATCAAGGTAAGTGTTTAAATATAAGCTATTGAAAACAACTATTTCACCTTTGCATGAACAAATGGGGGGGGGGTGGGGGGGCTTGTGGCACAGACTCGCACTTGCGAATATTTTTCTTCGCAAACACGTCCATCTCCTTTGAAAGTGATTAAGAAACAGACAGAATTGCAAGCTCGTTTGCTAACAGCAAACTGAGAATATTTTACTGGTCGTTATATCCATACGTTTGTTTGTACCAAAAAAATCCAAATTTTAATATGTAGAGGTTTACATGCATGTAGAAAAAATACTTCACATAAAGAGGTTTTACTGAGGAAATATGTAAATATGTATAATCGTCCAAATATTTTAAAATATATCCCGTATACAATATATATATATATATATATATATATATATATATATATATATATATATATATATATATATATATCTATATATATCTATATATATATCTATATATAAACTGATATGCTACTTGAAATTTTCAAGTCTTCATATGTCATGTATGCATTACATGTAATTCATTATGTACGACAAGAAGATACAGACAGAGACAGAACTCTCTTTGCAATGAATTAAGGTAGTACTTTCATCCTTTAATGCAGCCTGTAGTCCTGGTTGGTATGGACGTAATTGTTCACAGCGATGTAGCAGTCACTGTTTAACGCCGTACCTGTGTGACCGATATAATGGATCTTGTATAGGAGGATGTTCTACTGGGTGGATCAATGATACCTGTGACAAAGGTGTGTTGCTTAGATTCTTATTTTTTATTTATCTCCACATTTCATTTCTTAAACTTTTATTACTATACAAATACCTGTCTATTCTCTTTTCCAGTTGACACGGAATATTGTAAGTATAACGTTCTTTTATAGGAGTTTATCCCAATTCGCTCTTGTAGCCTTGCATTTAGATTTTTAAAAGCTTTTGTTTCACTCCTAATTGTTTTTATGCTCTTGTGCCGGAAACAGGTGTTGATTGGGAACCTTCAGTTGTTTCCGTTTTGTATCATAATATGACATGGAGAAAAGAAGTAATAAACAACCTCATCAGATATGACCCCGCTGTTACCCTTCTGTGCAACTTCAGCTTGAAATCCGATAAAGAGCTATTTTATGACGTCACTTGGTTTATTGATGGACAGGAAGCTTTTAGTCAGACGGTTGATTTCACCAATAATTACACTGCTGTAATAACAGCTCATGATATGTTGAGAGCGAAGAAAAAGATAGGGTCTGACGTAAGGAAATTTCTATCACTGTATCTACTTTAATGATTGGAACACTAGGGAATATCGCTTGAAACATCTAAATGTAATATTAAAACTTATTCAAAGCTATCTTTTTTCCGTTAGAATTTTTTTTTTCAAAACGTGTTCTTTTAACGATAATTCCGTTTGCGTAAATTTTTCAATGGAAGAGAACAAATGCTTGCATTGATTTATTTCAAAAAAAGAGTAAAAAAAAAAAAAAACATATATAAGTACAAAATCAAATGTGATTTCATTTTCAACAAAATTTGTTTCCTTCGTAAGGTACACTGCAAAGTTGGTGCAAAACGTAAAAAAGAAAACAGTCCATGTCTTTTCAAAGTTGCAAATCCATTCTTTGCTGGAATTAAGGTAATACAATAATAAACATCTCAGATTAATGCCTGTTAAGAAAGGTTAATGAATAGTACTCAGTTCTCAGTTTGAAATTTAAAGACTCTTTGTAATTTTATTTATAATGCATCTCGCTGACTTTTTTCCCAAGGATTTTATTCAACATTTTCTTAAAAGTTATACATTTATAATTTAATTTTGTTTGTATTCTAGCCTCTGATTGGTTAATATCCAAAAAGGAACACAAATTATTTCTGTATAACCTGGTTTGGTATGGGGACACCCCCCCCCCCCCTGACAACCAGCTGAATCGTCTGTATCCATGCAATCCTCTCATTTCCAGTCCTCGGGATTCATGGAAAATTCCAGATTTAATAAATGTACCTTTAACTTCAAACAGTAACTTGGATCTTACCACATGTAGAGGCTGCTAGGACTATGTATCAGTTTTTACCTCCCCTCGCTTCCCATCACTTCCGTTACTAGGGTTGTATTATTGAGCGGCAAATTTGAACTAATAAAAAGCAACGAAATATATATAAAGCGTAAACTGACCCAAACCAGGTTATACTCGAATAATTTGGCCAAGAATTAGATTCATTCCTAAAGAGACAAAAGATTGAATTACATTATTATGTACATTTAAATACATTTTTTTAAAGATACTCAATCCAAGTATTGAATTGGAGAGAAAAGGATCTAGGAATGTCGAATTGGAGATGACAATACCATTCGCCTCTGAATCGCTTTATATTAATGGTGATCCTCAACCACTTAGCGACCTGAACATTTATATGACCTTTAAAACAGACGATCCGTCTAAATGTAGTGGAGGAGGATCATCTAATCAGTGCGAAGTCAAAGTAAAAAGCTATAGCTACAACGAAAGACACAAGTATGAAAACGACGAATGGAAGCAAAATATTTCATTTCCGGTTTATAGTCAGGACACTGATGGTTACGTCATCAACAGTCAGATGACTCTACGATTAAATACTGGAGGCACTAATGGTGTTGGAAGTAAAATATTCGAGCATGTGTCTTTGCCCGACATTTCGGTATGCTTTTAGTTTAACTTGATAAAAGTAGACTGAATAGTTACTGATATTTTTATGCAATGCTGTAAACAATGACGTTTCTAAAAGAAATACCCAAAATATTTTTGAAACGTAACAATACAATTATAGTGCAAAATGAAGTTAATGATAATAGTTATTATAGTATGTTTATGTTTATATACTTTTGTAATCAAATAATGCACCTATTCTCTAGAAATGCCTTTTTCTCGGAAAAAAAAATATCTGACTTTATTTTGTGTTTTTTTTTTCACAATCCTCATTACCGTTTAACAGTTACATTTATACAAGCATTTCAATAAAGGTTTGAGAATATGTTACAGATAAGAGTTCGAGAAAGAAATGAACAATGGAAAGGCAGATCATGTGGTGTTAGAGGAGATCCACATATATATACATTTGATGGAAAGTAAGAACGAAAAGCATGTATTTAAGCAATCTTCACAACCCATTTAAAAAAAAAAGATTTTTGCAATTAATTGGTAACATTAAAAAGTAGAAGTAAGTAATGTAACCATAAAGTACAAGATAGAGAGATTTTCACGTCCCAGGATTTTTTTTCTTTTTTTTTTTTTTTTTTTACAAATGTTTCGGAATATTGCATAAATCATTCGTAGGAAGTTCTGAAGAAGGGTCGATTCCTTAAAACTGTTAGTTGTAGATGGATGTATGGTGCATATATATATGAATGCAAACATTACAATCAATCATGCAGAGGCTGCTAAATCTGACCACTTCATAGTTAGGTATTAACTGTTAAATGTTTTAGGTAATGTCCTTTCCAAAGTGCATAAAATGTTAAGTGTTTTTGTCTTTATATTGGGTTAAAGCATTATTGTATTACATGTATGTATGCATCTATATAAAGGAACGTGGAATGCAAATTTCTTTCATATTAGAAAAGGTCATTCAATAATAAATAAGACAGATATCTTATTAAAAGATAACAAACATTGAAGTATGTAATTTTTTTTACTAAATGATTATATAATCACATTTGCTGATGCACGACATGATAATTGATTGATTTATTGTTTGTTGTTTAACGTCCCTCTCGAGAATTTTTCACTCATACGGAGACGCCACCATTTGCCGGTGGTGGGCTACAAATTTGACCTATGCTCGGCACTTAGGGCCATTGAGCAATGAGAGATCTTTTTCGTGCCAGCACCTACTGCTACACGGGACCTCGGTTTATACGGTCTCATCCGAAGGACCGGTCTCCACGTCCCGCAGTGGGATTCGAACCCGCGACGTAAGGATCAACTCCTTACTCCGCGAATCTAGATCAGACGCTCTAACCACTGCGCCACGCGGGCGACTATGATAATTAAAAAATAATTCAAATTATCACGGATATAAACATAAAACAATGCTTAAGAACTTGATAAGTTTAATTGAAAGGCAATCTATGTTAAAGATAATATCATTTTCCCCCCACAGATCATACCAATGTCATATACCTGGAGAATTTATAAATTATCGAAATCAACACCAACTACAATGGGTAAGTCTGATCGAATTTAAATGCTCTATTTTACTTTTTAAAGCAATGATTAAATTAATTTGAATAACTCAATTAAATATTTTTGAGACTTCAATGTGAATTTAAACAATACATGTTTCATCTGGTATAAAATAAATGACAGGGTCACGTAAATTATGTACAAGTTAGAAACTGAGGCCAGTGTACATAAAAGTGAGCTTACTTTGACCTTTTCTCTAACACTTTATGAACTGCATTTTAGATTCAGTCTAAACATCACCTATGTATCCCATCATACGATGGTCCTTGGTGTGTCTGCGCAGTCGCAGCAAGAGCCGGAAGAGATGTCTTCGTCATAGATTTGTGTGGAGAAAATAAAGTCATCAGCTATGAGCTGTGCGAGGACAATGTTTTAAAAGTCACGAAAATCTACGACAAATACTATAAGGTCGGGAAAAAAGTTTCAATAACCTAACTAGAGTACACTTGATGTGCAGGTTAATAATTATATATGATTTCTTACGAATTATGATTATGGATGCTTTATTTTATGAACATGTTGTTTGTTGTAAGAGTTCTCCACATGTGGTTTTGCAATGACAGTAAACCTTGATACGAGCTGCTCCATGGTCCATAATCAGTATTTTTTAATTGCATTTAAGACACGTAATTTTATTTTTAAAAAAGAGTACTGATAATAAATCTATAAGCAGTAATTAATACAACATGGCGTACGAATTTACATAACAACGATTGTTGATGAGAGAATTAATGAGCAGCAGGATAGGAATATATACAGGGGTGATATATTCTGTACTTCTTGCAGTTTTTAAAAACTGTAACACGGGTTCACGATAATATAGAATTTGCAAAAAGTAAAATTACAGTTAACACTCATCCTAAACAAAGGTTTTGCCTTCAGAAGTTTAACTATTATTACTAAATATTATATACTGTAAAAGATTTCAATTTCCGTCCGCCAAAACAATCGCAATTTTTTACCCTTCCTTTTTTATTTTATCATTAAAATTAAAAAAAAACAAGTTATCACAAACGCAAAGTCAGAGTGTTATAGAGTGGCGCTATTTTAATCCCTGGAGCATATGGAGAAGTAAATAATGAATACTTGAATACTGTTCGTTATCTCCATATATTTCATGAAAAAAAGAAAAATCAGATCATGATCATAAAAAAGGCAAAGAACTAGCAAAAATACAAGTATAAAATAAAATTTAATATCAATACAAACACTTATAGTATAAAGCTTAGGTAAAAAACGTTTGAAGTGCCGTCGTCCGTCCGAGTGTCTGTTCGTACCTATCGATATTAAAAATCATTTATTAGGGAAAATACCTTCCATAATGTTTTCTTCTTGAATTAAATTAGTGGCTCTTTTTAAGAAATGATGTCAAACCAATTTTCACCATAGATTCTATATCATTCAAACGCAGTAGATCCCCCAGATTCTCTATCGCTCGAAGGATGTGCTCCTCCACATTTTATTGCAATAGGGAGTATAGAGTGTCGTTATCGTATTAAAGTAAGACTAACAAGCTTATTCAGCGATTTGTGTCCTCCGCTTAAGGAAATAAGAAGAAACATTTTGCGGATGGAGAACGAAAAAAAGTAAAACCTTGACCTTTCAGCTTTGACCTTATAGTCAATACGAGTCTTTTAAAGTTTTTTAAAGAATTCATGACCATTGCAAAAGCTTACAGAAAAATTTAAAGTATCATCTAAAAAAATATGTATCCTATATATATTTCTAATATTGACCTTTGACTTTTTGACCTCAACATGAATATGGTTTTATTAAGCCATGGGAAGTTTTTTTCTAAAAAATTTCATTGCAAAATCTTAGTCTTTGTAAGACATAGTTTGGAGGAAAACAGTTTTATAGAAAATGCATGAATTGATGACTTTTGACCTCAAGAAGGAAAGGATTCTTCTTTAGGCCAAAGGGAGTTGATATTAAATTTTATTGAAGAAAGCTCAAAGATAATTAAAGTTATTATCTTGAAACTTGACCTTTAACCTTTAGACCTCAGAATAAACGGGGGTATTTTTTAGGCCATAGGAAGTCGTGGTATAAAAGTTCATTGCAAAAGCTCAAAGGCCTCTTACCGTTCACGGTAGCTCAGTAGGTAGAGCGCTCGCTCCGTGATCGGGAGGTCGTGAGTTCGAATCTCGGCCGCGACTGACCTAAGTCGATAAAAAATTGGTAGCAACTGTTCCTTCGCCAGGCGCTAAGCACTTTGAAGTGAAAGTTCAAGGTCTTTCGGATGAGACCTTAAAAACCGAGGCCCCGCGCGCCTAGGATAAGGCTGTCCGAAGAATGTCACAGTGTACCAGCCGTAGTAACTTCTCTGAACTACCTAGATATGACGTCATAATGGCATGTGACGTCGTCACTGCATACTTGAGCTGACATGTCGGGGAAAGTGTCATAACTTTTACATTCCTTTCGCATCACATGTAGAATTTTCTACGTTGATGTTTAGTTCAAATGTCTACATTGTTGTTTTAAGGCTGTTGTGATGGTGAATATTTGCAGTTTAATATCGTTATTCCTTTTTCTTGTCTAATATGTGCGTATTCAAACAAGTACAAAAAAGAATGTGAAACGCTCCCCCTTACACGTCCGCAGACAGAGATAGAATTTATAAATCTTATATATATACGACTGGCACAAGTGAATAATAAGGATTAATTGAAGATATTCTGTGTTAATCTACTAGAGAAATATGTCCTCTAACTGAATTTTGCTGGGGGATTGTATGTAATTTATCCCATTTTATATAAATTGTGATGAAGAGTGGAAAATGCCCCCTTGTATGTGGGTAAGTTGAATTTCTCGGGAAATATTTTCTTAAGAATTAAAATTCAGACTTGCCCCCAGCACTTTATATATACCCAAGAATATGTTTAATTGATTTATGTAACAAGCCGTTCACAATAATTTTGTTTTTCACTTGTGCTGACGCGATTTTTGTGCAACATTTAAAGAAATTTATAAGTGTCCGTCAAGTGATCAACACAGTCATGTGACATCACAAAAATGCTTTTTTTATAATACCTTATTCAACTCTCTTTAAAACTTAACTGTGTATGTATACATAGATTACAAACTGAAATCAAAACATAGCTCGAAATAAAATAGTATATATCTAATGCATATTCAGTCTTCGGACAGCCTTAACATAGCTGCGCGTGTCACCTCGGGAGTTGGCACGACAAAGATCCCTCACTGCACAATGGCCCTGAGTGCCGAATAAAGGTCAAAATTTGAAGCCCTTCACCGGTATATAGTGACGTCTCTATATCAGTGATAAATTCTCGAATGGGACGTTAAACAAGAGACAATCAATCGATCAAAGGCTTCTTGAGATATCGTCCCCAAACGAAAGATTTACATATAGACAGAAAAACAGACGGACGGACAGGCAAATTAATATCCCCAATTTGAGTGAGAATGGGAACAAAGAAATAGATGGAGATTCTACGTTGTCTCGAGTTTCGGCAGTTAATTTTTTTTTCCTTGTCATTTTAGTGCCCCTCACACACCCCCCCCCCCCCGCCTTTATAAAGGTTTCTATGGATCTGTCTTGCGTTAATGTCCCTCATCATCCTCGAGAAATAAGTAAATTCATAAATTTATTTTCGTTCGTCCACTGAAACATATCGGGTTGATCAATCTCATAGACGGCTCGGCTCCGCATCGCCGTCTATGCGATTGATCAACCCGATATATTATGATCAACCCGATATATTATGTAGTCAGTCCTTAACAAACCTAATAAGTAATAGTTTACGGTTTCTGATTTTGAGAACTGCTGTCACTGGTTACGAAAAAATTTTTGTACTTTTTAAAACGCAGCTATTTCTATTATTTTGGTCTGATTTCTATAAAAATCTGTACAGTTTTAGAATTCACACAGACACAAAGTTTTCTTTATGTTTTTGATGGTTTTATGTTATCAATCTTTATTCTGGCATATTCAGATATATTTTCCCACTGGTACGTCACTGGCTATTTATATTATGGATTGGAATGGGCATTATAACATCGACCTAGAAATTCTCCCCTCTGCTATGGATGTAGGAAATGCTGATGGTTTGTGTGGATATTTTGATGGAGTTAGGGAAAACGACTTCAGAAGACGAAACAGTACTATTACAGATAACATCGGATTGACATCTCCTAATGGTTTCTCCGAGTCATGGAAGTATGTATCAATATTTGGGTTTAAAACAATTTATTAATTTTTCCAATTTAACTGTAATTTATTACAGTTTATTACCTTACAATTTATAGTTTAACTGTTCATATAATCTGATATAAAATAACACTATATGCCTTTCTATTACGTAGGATTATGGACAACGAAAATCTCTTTCGCGGTGACTCTGTAGTATACAGCAGTTTGAAATCTGTGTCCACCATTCTTGTTCCTCACTGTACATGCACAGAAAGCGGGAAAACCCAATGCTCCTACAACACGTTCACACCCTGCAACTCAAACCGAGGCAAACAGTATAAATGTAACGTAGACCTTGTACAAAACAGAAGACGTAGACGGGATGTGTCCGATATGTACAGGCAAATGGATCCTTTAATTGTATGCAATTATTTATCTATTTCAATTATATTAAAATTACTTAAGCGTATTTACCGGTACCTAATGAAAATTTCTAGATCCATTTTTTATAGATGGAAAAACAATATCCATCTTGAAACATCATACTTACTTTGAAAAACATAAGGAGCAATTTCTTTGGAAAACACGATGAAAGTTATATCTTGATTAGACGTCTTGCATTTAACTATTTCAGAGAAAGAAACGTACTATTTCCTACGTACGGTCGACCGAATACTCCGAAACAGTTTGCCTCCAGGCTTTTGAAAATTCACGTGAATACAACACCTGTCAACAATATGTAACCGACCTTAGTAATGTAACATTATCCAACTGTATTGAAGACATAAGAGTAAGTTAAATAAAAGTACAATGCATTTCATTTGTGACATATACTGCAGAATGACATGCTCTAGTATCAATTAATTGTACTGAAATCGTGGCCTCTTTTGCATAAAAGAAGTTTGAATTGAACAAATTCAATGCTTAAATCTGTTTTCAGATGACAGGCGATGATAACCTAACGCAGATTCACGTCGAAGCCGCTCTACAGCAGTGTTCCACGTTTGTTCTCTTGAATGCCACACTGCAAGAATCAGAACCGGAAGTTACCTATACAATACAAAACCTCTGTCCAAGCAACTGTACCGGACATGGCACTTGTGATGGAGGTAGTGCATTCATTGGATCATACAATATAACGGAACTTATTTGCTTATGTTTTCATTTGAAAATAAAGAAGCAGAACATACAAAAATTGAACGGGTATAATTAAGATAAAGTCATTTACACAAAGAGCTTAATAATTTTTTCAAAATATCAAATTTGAATCAAAAAAATATTTTCAAGACTTTTGATGTGTATATTTTGAGTACAGGGAAATGGCTTTGCTCCTACATATAGATAAAATGTATAATCTTTTTTACAAGGAAATTGTACATGTGACGCTAACTTTGGGGGGAGCGACTGCTCCTTTGATTTACTTGGTCCTCCCATAATAACAAGTGTTCCCAGTGCTGGTCTTTGTGATCTCTCTACTACAACCTGCAAAGAGGCCACCATCTTGGGAAAATATTTCTTTGAAAACATGGACTCGATATGTTACCTTACCGTGAAACAGGTATATCTGAAAAATTATTTTGTAAATATAATGTTAGCTCAATCATAAAATGGCTCGATTTGTGATGGAAAGGTGGGTGGGTTCACGGCCGCGACAGACCTAAGACGGTAAAAAGTAGCAACTGTTCCTTTGCTAAGAGCTCGGCACTTTTAAGTGAAAGTTGCTTTCTTTCGGATGAGAACTTAAAAACCCTTAAAAATCCCCCGTATCAGGGTAGGGGTTGGCACGATAAAGATCCCTTACTGCTCAATAGCCCCGAGTAAAAGTCTAGTTTTGAAGCTCTTCACCGATATATGGTGATGTCTCAATATGAGTGAAAAATTCTTGAATGAAACGTAAAACAACATACAATCAAACCTTGAATATTTATATTAATGGTTTTTATGACAAGGTAATAGCATATTTCCTTTTTCAGCAATAATTAAGTTTTCTTAAAATATTTTTTTCAGACTGATATTAACCAAACAGAAGAAATTGAGCAAAAGAGACAGATGAATTTACAAGAGAGAACCTTATTTGAGGGATTCTGTCCGCTTCCGTATGACACATCTGGTATGTGGATGACTGAAATCAGGTTTAACATCTCCAATGACGGAGTACGTTTTACAGACACGTATAAGGTTATTATATACCAGTCTCATTGTCAAGAGTACCACAATGAATCCGGAAATGTGTATCTTACCCTAAAGGTAAGTGTTGCCTTCTTTTTAAACCTTTTTGGAGTACATTTTAATATATACCAAGTACTTTGTTCTAGTCGACCTTTATGGATATGAAAATACCTGAACATCCTGAGTACTTATTTGGTAATATCGTTGTTTGAATTTCGGAAGCAGACCTTTATTTTTATCCATATTTGTCTTTAAAAAAAATGTAGGTATTTTAAAAAGTCGTTTTGATCTTGCATACAAATATTAATATCTGAAAAGCTCTGAATTCTTTTAACAGGAAAAATCTCATTTTTATGCTATTTACAGGAAAATTTTTGTTACATCGATAGCACATGCATTAGCCCCATGCAGAATAGTTCAATCAATGACTGTCTTTACTGTAATGCAACAAATGATAAATTCAACTGGACAGAAAATGAATGTAAGTGTCTAATTAGGATACTTCGTTCTCATTTTCGTTTTGTACGGTTTCGATGTGATTGTGTTTTAAGTTCCTTTCAAAAATCATTGAAAGTAGCAATAAACGGAAGGATCCAATTTTTTATCGTAAGTCGGGAGAGGGCAAACATAGTTTTAAAGTTGGCCTAATATAAATATTTTTATCTACGTAGCCTGTGGACAAACAACAACAGAAAGTATGACAACAACAATGATCCACAGAGACACAGAATCCACATCGATGAGCTCCACAGAACAAATAGAAGAGACTGCAACTTCTATTACGACTGTTGAACAAAACGAAAAAACAAAAGATGCCAAAGAACAATCGACTCCAGCAAAACTTAAAAATACCTATTTGATAGTTGGAGTCTCTAGTTCTATGGTTGGAATTGTATTAATAATGATAATCATTGGACTGGTAGCCAGAAAATGTAGTAAATCGTAAGTATTCCTGGGTTTTAAAATTAAGAGATTGAACAATCAGAAAAAAAAAAAATAAGGCAAACATCTCATTTGAAATGAACCGTTCAAAAGGTCAAGGATCTGCTGGATAATTTTCCCTAACTTAGGGCTCAATGTCTTCTTTGCTACACATTGGTATTTCTTTCTTAACCGAGGCGTAGAACAACAGTCAACAATAATGATTCAAATAAAAGGCGTTTTACGCAATGACTGTTGTGACCATTTTTTAAACGGCAAATTCTTGTCAGACACGGGTATGAATAATAAGTCACAGTTTTTCTTTCATTATTAAACAGGAGAAAACATCAAGAAAATCAACAAGAAAACAATGAACCGAACAGGAACTGGAGAGACCTCGTTGAGGCGGGAAAACCAACCACAGACCCTCAGTATAATACCAATTCTTCCCTGTCCCACAGTGGAAAATCCTACGTTCCGCACGCACCTCTTCATCATTTCAAATCCAGTGGAGGATCTCGTAATGTCAACGCCAGTAGATATCAAAGATATTGAGTTTGACAATTCTTTCTGTGTATACAGCTAGTATCTTTATCCTTTCAGTTTTGCTTGTAGTATGCGTTGTTTATTTGTACATATTTATACTAATTTTTCGACCTGCTTTAAGAGGCAAATTGATACTGATTATTAATAACAAAACACATTTTGTACAATAGATAAATTTTATGTGTATGTTTTTTTCTCTGTTTTTTTCTTTACATATACCGGGGTAAAAAGAAAAATAAAAGATTTATGTAGGAGAGTAGAGAACAATGTCTCATTCAGATAAATAGGCTTGTGATGTAGAGTGTAATGAAAAGAATTTTTTTTTAATTACGTGCATGTATATTGTTGTAATGGGATGAAAGCATGATGTGAATATAAACTACATGGATATGATTTATCAAATATTATATATCATAAATCTGTAACGTTTATTGTAATAGGGATGTTTAATCTGAAAGGCATTGAATGTTGTTGTGCTGTTTTAATTGATGCAAAATAAAAACAAACAAAAAAACAGGAATTATTATTGACATCAAACTACTTAATGTGGAGCACAGAACATATTTAGATATGAGTAATGTATTTTATTTGTAGGAGACTTTGTTATTCTTCTAACTTTTCACATATGATATATTTTACCTTTGAATTGTAAGTTCTTATTTTATAACATTATTAAGATGTTTTTTTTTTCAATCTTGAAATGAGAGGAATCCTCTGCTCCCAAAAAAGTAAATTTCTTGAATCTATTTTATAACAAGCATGTATATTCATAACCATGGATACTTTCTAAAAGATACTGATTTTTTACGGGGGGGGGGGGGGGGCAGAGGAACGAAATTCAACTTTAATATTAATACGAAGTTGGTTGTTTCATTTCAAACATGCAGAAGTTTTTGGAAGTCGGATTTGTATACAAACGCATCCCTTCATAGTTTCTTTAGTTAAACGTGATATTCTTGATGGAAAATTAATTGATATATTTCAGCAGTATTGTTTTTTATCAAGCTTATCTGAGTCAAAGACCAGTGAGCATTTTTCTAAACAGAGTTACGTGTTGTTCGTCTTTCTGCTATCTTACACGACATATTATATCTTCATCTTTAGAGATACTGGACAAATTTTAAGTAAATTTGCAATAAAGCTTCAAATTTCAGTTATGTGTATTTACAGTGTAACATAAAGACGTGTGTTATGGTATTTGGTTTCTGAACTACATATCTTAAATTGTTTGGTGTAAGTCTGCGATCAGCTACATGTTTGTGAATTGAAATCTGCAACCCATATCCCACTGGGTCAGTTGAGGCTAAAACAATGCTGGAAATATTACACAGAAAATAAAATAGCATTAAAAGTGCCCTTATCTTAGTCTTCAACTGGTAAACTTCATTTAAAGTCTTATTCTATATACTGTTAATTAAGATAACTGATGCTACGGACTTAAGTTTATGGATACGCTTTATATTCAATATATGGAAACACTAATTCAATTCAATTGTCATTCAATTATATATTAATTGGACAGATAAGTGATCTGTGCAATAATTATGGGACAATGTTTCTTGGCCCTAAGTTTAGTTGATAGATGCACTGAAATTGGATAAAAAAAATTTGTGTCTTTCACAAGGTTAGGGTTAGGGTTAGGGATGTCTTTCATGAGAAGAAGGAAACACTTGCT